TGTGCCCAAAGAGATAGCTTGGTTTATTAAGTTAGAACATAAAATACAATTAATTTTCAATTAAATAATAAAAGAATGTTTCTCAAATACATATAGAGAAAAACAGCATCATTTGTAATTGAAAATAAAAGCAAAGAATAGAAAATAAAAAATATATATATGTATGTGTGTGTATATATATATATATATATCATAGTATATAACAGCTATAAGAACAAAGAAAGTTAATTTCCAGGTGAAAAAGATGCCCTGGGTAGAATGAAAATAACTAAAATATCAAAATGGAAAATTAAAAAGTGGTTTATTTAATAACATAGTCTCTTACTGAAAATCTACTAGAACACATAGAATACATTGATGATATGAAAATTATGAGTAAATTATTTCTCAAGTGTGATATATCTAGGAAATAGATCATTGAAACAAAAAGTAATATCATCACAGCATACAAACAGAAAATTCACATATAGAAGCAAAAGAAAATCACAGTTTACACTGCCTTCGTTTTTAAAATCAACATCGTTTTTGCACATTCTAAAGATTTTACCCCCTAAATATAGAAAGAAAAACAAGCCAGGGCTTTAATATAATATTTTTTCCCAACCTGGAACAGCTGCAAAAAACAAATCTTGCTGGAGATAAGTTTGGTTATAAATACCACCATTCCCTTTAAATAAAGGAGTCCAGTTTTCATACCATCTGCCTCTTTCTAAAAGGAAAAAAATATGAAAAACATAAACCAGAATATTCTCTTTCAAATAAGGCATTTAAAAATGAATGTGGTAAGAAGGCTACGAACAACTCTAAGCCCCTACCTTTGAATTTGTCCTGTTTAGCTTTGATAAGACGCTCATACATATTTTTGAGTACATAATTCTCCAGAACAGTTACATTAACTTAAAATATCTATGTGTTATGTTTAATTATTATACTTAATTAAATACATATTATTGTTAATTAAAAATACTTTGAATTTTAAAATATTACTATAAACTATCTTCTATAAGAATATGAAATTGATAAAGGGTAGGTTAACTCTTCCCTACTTTAACTTGTTTCCTTTATGGTTCTGTCACTTTTTAGTTGACCAAGCTAAGCTCTTAACCATTTTTTAAATGGGTACAGTAATAATTTAAAGGTTAAATTAAATAGCTAATTCAGATGAACTACTTAACGTGGTGTTTCCCACATAGTAAGTAGTCAATAAATGTTATTAGTATCATTACATCATGCTGGTTTTAATAAATAAGTTACTCACTGTTGAAGCAACACACAATCTAAATAATTTTTTTAGACAAAAATAACAACCTAAACCTGATGACCTCAACTCATTAAAGTAGTTAATGAATTCCCTTATATTTAAGGTTCTTAGAGTATAAGAATGGTCTCATAATATACTAAGCTTATACTAATTTAATTACCTATAAATTGTACAGTTTCTGTCATTTGGTCTCCGAACCAAATTCTATCATCAGCTAAGTAGCTTCAATAAAAGTATATTTGGATAATTTTTAAGAGGCCAAATTACATATGCTGTCATTTTGTCAACAAGCATTGGAATATATATATATAAATTAGTACTCAAAAATATTTACTTTCTGAAATGAAAAGCTTCTGAATAACAACAAAATAAGTTTAAACACTAGTTCCTATTTTTCAAATTGACAACTGAGTTTCTAATCTATATCAGACGTCCCAAGTTATCTTCCAGTCTAAGTAAAGAATCTTGTTAAATCAACCTTTCCATTTTTTTTTTGTTATTCTCTCTTCCAGAGTTATATGCTTTTAATATTATTTCTATTGAGTCTATTATATCATAATTTTTCATATATCCACCACATGCGTTGAGCAGGTCAGTACAGTTCTTTCTACTAAAGCAGTACTCTGACATTAGATAAAACTGGTACTGTCAGCAAGGTCTCAAAAGTTTAATTTGCAATAAGAAATTTAGCATACCAAATGTTTAAAATAACCTTGGGCCTAACACTCAATGGTAAAAAAGAAACACAATTTTAGAATATACTTTAAATTATAGTACTTTCCCAACAATGCCTTCAAAAATCCTTTTTAAGAAAAATATCATTAAGTATTCCAATCACTTTTCTATTTTTTTTTGAAAATTAAACTTGACAGTAACATTATACTACTTTATTTAAAATTCTATCATAAAAAAATATTTTATAAAAGCACTGGACAACTATTTCACTAGTTTTAAGAATTTTCCCTCTGTTATGAAATCATCACATTAGCCAAACTTTTGGGGCAGGGGCTAGATTATATCTAATGAATCCCTTTAATGGAAACAGCATAATCAAAATTCTTTTAAAGCATATATCTTAAAATTATTGCTGAACTCTAGAAAAGGTAAAGAAAAAAGCAAATGAGTTTCCCAATTCAATTTTTGAAGTAAAATTTGTAATCTGATTTTTACAAGGGCATAATACTGTCCAGAAACTTCTCTGCCCCAAGTCTGCAGAATCTCCCATTTGACTCAGTCATCATTCCAGCTTATAGAGCTCTCTTGGAATCTTCCACACATCATCATTGTAGTCTGAGTACATGAGCTTGTCTCCCATCACAACGAGAATAGAGATCATTATATACAAATCATTCATCTAAAAGCTTCTTCTAATTCACTCTCTTACACACACCAACACAAACATTTAGATACATATCAAACACACACAAATACACACACACACACACATATGCTCAGACACAAACATTGTCCATACCAGTACCTCCACTTTGATCTCAATGTAAGAAGTGTCCTGTTTCCTGCCAAGACTTCCTCTTTACCCAGGAACCCACCCCATACATAAAAAAATTTATCTTTTGTTTCCCTTCTTTTCTATCTCTTCTGTCATTGCCCTCTTTTGGAGGAGGGGATGGGGGTCTCATTGGCCTTACTGCATTAGCATTATTATAGGTCTTTCTGTCTCCAATCTTCTTCCGCTCAAAACCATCCCCCACCTTGCCTGCAGAATAATCTCTCACAAATAAAATTTAATCAAGAAATTCTCCTGAAGTATATTGTATCATTCAATGTTTCCCAATGTACTTTAGGATGGAGTTTTATTTCCATAGTCTGATTTAATCTAACTCATGTCTTCCCTCCAATTTCTTCACTTGTCTTTATCCCTCACACATGCCATGTTTCAATTACTTTGAATTACATGCAGTTCCCTAAAATTAAACTATATAACAGCTTACTGCCTTTGCCCATGCTCTTTCTTTCTCTGAAAATGCTTTCAAATAGTTCTTTACCTGGATATCTTAAACTCCTTTAAAACAATAGAAAGGTATGTCAGTCATTAATTCTACTCACATATCTTCCAATTTTCCTTCTCCTTGGGTAGAAGGCAGTATTGCACTTCACAGTGCCCTATTTGAAATCAAGCAATTCGCTTTGACCAATGAAACTCTAAATGCAAGTGCTTAATTAGCTCCCATTGCTGCAGTGATCATGGATCCAGATGAAGTCTTTGATGTCTTGAGTCACAGAGCTTTTCTACAAACTCATTTTGAATATGTAGTCTGTGTAAGAAATAAACATTTGTGTTAAGACACTGAGAATTGGTCTTGTTTGTTCCTACAGCATAGCCTAGGCTATTCTAACTAATACAAAGTGTGACCTTTTTCAGGAAGACTTTCATGAGCCCAACACAGTCTGATTCAAATGTTTCTTCTCAAAGTGATGATAGTATTTATTCATACTCTTATCATAACACAACAGTGTAGTAAGATGGCTGCTGTAATTATCCATCTCCCTTTAAATTGTACTTCTGAGGGAAGGAACTGGGTATTTCATCACTGTATCCTTGTCACTTATAACAGTGCCTAGACATGGTAAATGCTAAATTAATTGTTCATTCATTCATCCATTCACTCATTCACTCATCAAGGGCCAGATGTAGAGTAAAACCAGAGCAAACAAAAAATACTGTCCTCACAGGAGGTAACATTCTTGTGAAGAATTATGACAATAAGCAAGAAGAATGTGTATAACATATATAGTTTATCAGATAGTGGTAAATGGCTAAGTAGAAAATACAGAGCCAGGATATTTAGATGATGAGCATGTAAGACCTCTTTTAGAAGGTTACCTTTTAATGAAATCTCAAAGTACATCAACTGTCCATGCAGATATCTGGGAATATCAACTCAGCAGAGAGAATACTGCAAAAACCCTGAAATGGGAACATGCCTGCCATGTTCAAAAAACAACAGAGGAACCAGTATAGCTGAGCACGTGAGTGCTTAGAGATGAGATTGGAGAGGTACCAAGGAGAGGCCAAATCTCTTAGACACATGTAGGCCAGTTTAAGAGCTTTTATCTTTTATCCTGAGTGAAATGGGGAGACACTGATAAATTCTGAGTGAGGGGTAGAAGATGACAGTAGAAGATAAGGTCAGAGATATAATGGAGGCCCATAGTCTTTCATGTTATGATATATTTCCTCTCCTCACAATACATGTGAAACAAAAATGTACCAATTAATCAAGAAAGATCCACATAAAATATCAATTATTCAACATTATGTCTAATGTTAAATAATGTTGAATAACTGATATTTTATGAGTATCTTAATCTGTTTATTACTTACTATGCTGGGATATTGATTACAACCAATATATAATCACCAAAATATAGTAATGTACCAAAGTACATGGTGTATCAAACATCAAGAGAGATCAAGTAATTAATGTAGCAACAAATCCTAGTAGATGATTAATAATACTAAACAATCTAAACAATCTGACAAATAAGTCAGATAAAGACTTATAGCTCTGTGGATATTGCTTAAGTTACTTGGATTTGCCCAAATACCACAAAATAATAAAAGAAAAATCATCTCCCCATTGCTATACTGCCTTCCTTAAAAAGAGCATTCTGAACCCAATTTCATTGCCAAAAACAAACCAAAACAAGAAAACAAAGTGAAAGAAAATAAACCAGTCAAAAAACCTTTGCCAAATGTTAAATAAAATAAACACACCTTGTGTTGTGTCCTTGATGCTGCCAAGTTTGAACTGTGGAAAACTGCCAAGGGGTAAGACGCTTCCAAAGGCAAGATCTTTACTGAGGAAACTGTGCTTGCATTCCTGGCAAATTCAATTCCAGATACCAAAACAGTATTCTTGGTTTCTTTTTCTTACTGGAATTCAAAATTTAATATGAAATATTAAGTGAATGATCTGCAGTTCCCTAATTGTTCACAAAATAAAATCTCTGGTAGCATTTTCCAAAAGATTTCTTGGTTTGCTAATTCTGTTTTATGTTCAATTAAGTTTCTATGGCCAAATAAACATGAAAAATGTTGCATACTATGCCACTCTTTTCACAAGACACACTTTCATCAAAAGGCTCTGAGAAGTTCTGTAATAGAAAATCTCAAGTTTATTTAAGTGAAGATGCCTTTTCCACTATAATAAATAGTAACATTATTTTTGCATATTACACTTTCAGAATTGTTCCCTGTATAGCAAATATCAGAAAAATAGAGATGTTTCTACTGTATGTTAGAGTCCAATATGAATGTAAAGAGACTGATATGAATTTATTTCCTGTTATTACAACTTAAAGAGTTGACCTATAAAAATAATTACATTTATTCAACCATATACTTTTCAGAATATATTAATTTCTAAACAAAATGCTCATTTAAAAGCAACAAGGAAAACAATCAAATAATGTATGATTTATTAATTTTTGTTTGGTAAATATTTACTAAATAACTATTATGTGCCAGCCACTGAACTTATTTCTAGTTTTATGCTACAATTGTTCTCACTTAGATAACAGTATCAAATTTAAATAGTTCCAAACACTGTCCAATAATAATAATAATAATACCAACTCAAAATTTAACTCCAAATATTTGAAAACAAAAGTTTCACTAATTCAAATCATATCATTAAAAATCAGCTTACAATTTGTAGGCTATTTGTAAATAGTGATAATAATCCAGGTCAAGTATCATAATATGAAAATATAGTCTTCTTTTCAAAATGGTGCTGCAAAAGAATAAAATCGAACTCCTTCTTCACACTATATACAAAAATTAACTAAAAAAATCAACTCAAAGAATCATAGACCTAAATGCAAAGGTTGAGACTATAAAATGCTTAGAAGAAAATATAGGAGTAAAACTTCATAACCTTAGGTTAGGCAATAGTTTCTTACATACAACACCAAAGCATAAGTAATAAAATTTAAAAATAGATAAATTGAATTTCATCAGTGAAGAAGAAAATAAACATATATAACAAAGTGAAAAGACAAACCACAGAATGGGAGAAAGTATTTGCAAATCATATATCTGATAAGGATCTTATACCCAGAATATATGAAGAACACTTAAAACTCAATAGTAAAATACAAATAACACAATGAAAAATATGGGGAAAGAATCTGAACAGAAATACGAATTGCCAATAAGTACATAAAAAGATATTCAACATCATCAGTCATTAGGCAAATTCAAATCAAAACCGCCATGAGTGGTTGGCAAGGATGTGGAGAAACTAGAACTTTCATACATAGCTGGTGGGAAAGTAAAATGGTGCAACCATTTTGGAAAACAGTTCGGCAAGTCCTTAAAAAATACAAACATAGAATGACAATATGACCCAGCAATCCCACTCCTAGGTATACACCCAAGGTAAACGGAAACATGTCCACATAAAAACTTGTACACAAATGTTCATAACAGCATTATGTTTATAGCCAAAAAGTGAGAAAAATCCATGATGAATAGATAAAAATTTATGGTATATTTACATAATGAAATATTATTCAGCTATAAAAAAGAATGAAATATTGATACACATTACGACATGGATTAACCTTGAAAACATTATGCTAAGTGAAAGAAGCCAGTCACAAAAGTCAAATTAATGCATCATTCTTATAGTCTCTTTATATGAAATGTTCAGAATGGGAATATCTATAGAGATATAAAATAGATTAACGGTTGCTTAAGGCTAAGTAAGGGTTGGGGCAGAAGAGATGGGGAGTGACTGATAATGGGTGTGGGGTTTCTTTCTGAGGTGATGAACATATTCTAAAATTAGATTGTGGTGATGACTGCACAAGTCGGTGAATATACTAAAAACCATTGAATTGTACACTTTAAAGTGATAAATTTTATGGTTGCAAATTACGTTTCAATAAGCCTATTATTAAGAGGGTCGTAATAATATAGGTCTACAGTCCTTATCTAAAATATTTGGCCCAGTGTGTCTTGGAAGTTTAAAATTATAAAAGTAATATGTTCTGTCTATAATGAAACCTAACTGGAAAAACTAAATTGCCTAATATTTAAGTGTTTTTCCAAGTATGTACAGATAACAAGAAAAAAGAATACCAATTTGAACTCAAATCTATCTAATCACAGAGCTTACACAATTTTCTCTACAAGGAAGAATGTGTTCAGATCATCCAGCTGGGACATAGGCTTTCTCTCTGTAAAATGGAAAAAAAAAGGAAAAAAATATATATATATAAGCCATATATATGTATATATGTGTGTATATATATATATATGTATATATACATATATAATACATATATATGTATATATATAATCCATATATATGTATATATACATACATATATATATATTGCAGAGATTACTATAAGGATGAAATGAGATCATTTTTAAGAAAATAATGTGTCAAATATAAAGGTTTACATAAATTTGAGATAAAATCTATATAGGAAACTACTTTCACTATGTACCTAAACCAAGATTTAAAATAGAATATGATTTTAGTCAATATGGGCATTCAAAACAAGTATGTTAATTTTTTTAAAAGAAATGATAAACATTAATTTAAACGTTGCTTTTTTAACACCTAAGGAAAGAAAATTCAAGTATGCTCAAGTAGTCTATAACAACTAAACTTCCATCATCTTGAGTTTTCATAAAGTTTTAATAAGCCACATGTAAAAGTGGTACAGTGTGTAAACCTACACATTATGTTTGGTTCTAAAACAGTTCTCTCTACACAAAACCCAGATAGATTATTCTTTTACATTGTGGATAACTCCTTAAACCTTTGAAAATTTAAAATTACTTCAGGGTCTAGTCAAGATGTAAACGGTGTGCATGCCTCCTCTCATGACTGCATTAAAATTACAACTAAATTATGAAACAGTCAACCTGGAGAATGATCTGAAGACTAGCTGAGCAGAACTCCTATAACTGGAGATATAAATAGGAGACTACATTGAGACTTGTAAGATGGGCGGAAACACAAACAGGGCTGGTCCCACACTCACATGTGGTAGTTGAGCATCCAGAGATATATCTTTGCTGTGGAGGTCCCCCTGGAGGAGCGAGGGGCCCTAGCTTCATTCCAGGACTTCCCAGCTCAAAGTTCCAGTGCCAGGAATAAGAGTCCCCAAAAAATCTGGCTGTGAAAATCAGTGGGGATTCCAGCTGTCCAGGTAAAACAGAAAGTAGCTGGAAACCAATATGCCCTCTTTTAAAAGCCCTCATACTGACTCAATTGCTTGCAGCTCCTAACACTGGACTCTAGCAAAAGTACAGCAGCTTAGGAGATACCATAGAAATGCAGGAAAAGACTAAGACGTGTAGCTTCAGAGCAAGGACTGGAGGGACAGCCACCATTGCCCCACCTGTTAAGCCCTCTTCTGATGTAGCCCGCAGGTGAGCACCATCTTGCCTCTGTTGAGCCCCTCCACCCACACAAACACAAGGTCAAAACTGAATGTGTATTGGCCTAGTGAAATCCAGTCTCTCTATCCTGGAGATCCCACACAACTTGCAAAATGCTTAAGGCAATTCCCTTACTAAGCAACCAGTCCCACACTGTGCTCTCAGCAGGAGGCATGTTCAACAGCAATCAATAGGTCTCAGCTCATGTACCTCAGTGATGGGCAAGCCTAGGCAGTGCTGCTGTATTTCTTCAATAAATCGCAGGCGGTCTACAGGCCAGAGGCAGGCAGAGGTTTGCCTCACTGTGAGGGAGATGTTTGCGAGTAGCCACAGGCTTGGCACTGGCAACAATCTGCACTAATCTGGGAAAAAGGACTTGATCTACCATGGTAACTCTCTAAGACTCCGCTTCATCCAAATCTGGTACACCCTGGGGCTCATTCAGCTGCTGAGCCTTACTGACAGTGGACAAGCAGCTTCAGGTCTGGGGAGTACTCTGAGCCTTTTGTTAGCTGACCCATGTCAGGTACTGGTGGCAAATGACCTCAGTTAACTGCATGGCCTCTCCCACATGCCTCCAGGTCCAGCTCAGGCAGCAAATAAACATGAATAGCTTTGTAACACCTACCAGGTAGCTCCAAGCCAGTCACTGGCAGCGGCACACCTTGGCCTACACAGAAGCCCATCCTAAAGTGCTCTAAAACCAACACACAGGGAGGCTGTCCTTATACCTCAACAGATTATCAATCACCTGATTAGCCCCATAAGCAGCACACACAAAAGGTGGTCTCAACAGGCACACAAGCCCACTGGAGTAAAGCCCACTCTGTGGGGTCATCACACAGCAGTTCCAATGCTGTGGGCATGGACAAGCCTCACGGCCAGTCAGTAAGAGTGTCAAACTTACTTACTGAGGTGTCAACAGCAACCAAGGCTCAACTACAACAGTAAGGCATACGCAACCACACAAGGGTCACTCCTGGAACACCTAATACAGGTGATAAGAGAGACTATGCCACTGGGCCACTAGGACACCTACTACATAAGGCTACCCAGCTAAGACTAGGAGACACAGCAGATCTACCTAATACATAAAAACACAGAGAGAAAGCCAAAATGAAAAAAACAGAGAGACATGTCTCAAATGAAAGAATAGAAGAAAAAAATGAAATGGAAGCAATCAACCTACAGATACAGAGTTCAAACACTGGTTATAAGGATGCCTGATGAACTTAGAGGAAGAACAGATCATCTTAGCAAGAATTTCAACAAAGAGGTAGTAAGCATTAAAAAAAAAATAAAAATAAAAATAGAGAACATAAAAAAGAACCAGTCAGAAATGAAGACTACAGTAACTAAAATGAAGAATGCTCTAAAAGGAATCAACAGTAAATTAAGCGAGAGAGGACTAAATCAGAGATATGGAAGACAAAGTAGCAGAACACATCGAATCAGAAGAGAAAAAAAAAAGA